TTCTGAAAAATCCCCGGAGGAATTAAAAAAAAAAAAAAAAAAGCGGCTTTTAGGGGGGAGAAAAAAAAAAAACTGGAGGTGAAAAGGATGGCTAAAATTTGTAGCTCTCCTCCTCGATTTATGAAACGGAAGGAACAGCACGAAGCAGGCAGTTCCCACCTTCTCCTTGCCCAGTAGCGGTCGAGATGGTTTCTCACCCAGGAATGATGGTCCGCAAGATGAAAACGCCTGGAAATCTTAATGCCGTTCCTCCTGTGATACTAATGAAGAAAGAAACCTTGGGATTAGAGGTTTCAGTGCTGATACGGAATACTTGATAGTCACAATATTCCTGCTTGGGATTACATATGAGCTGAATGTTACTTGCGTATTTGCAGTAACTTCAAATCCACAGGACTGCGCTCAGTGTTGCTGTTGTTGCAGTCTTCATGTGTGCTCGCAAAGTCATTTTTGACAGCATTATTAGCTATTCTTCTCAGTCCCCTTGCAACTTTGCCAGGTTGATTTGGATTCGATATATGTTTTGCACTTTATGAGAACACTGATTACTTTAGAAAGCCTCCCAGCAGCAGAGCAGAGATTGTTTTCAAAAAGATTATCTAGTGTTTACATTGAGCAGGCTTCCATTTGATCTTACAAAAAATCTGAAAAACTGAAAGTTGCATTTTACTCAGAGGATACCATATCTGCACGTCACATTGTTTTAGAGAGGTCACAACAGTGATTTCCAACTTGGCATGGCCTGACTGTCAGCTAGCTAACTACAGCACATAAAGTCACTACGGTCCCTTTGTCAGCTGGTAGAGCCCAAGAAATGTCCAGGCTATTGAACAAAAACATCGGGTTGCTTTAAGTGAGCAAAGGAAGAGGAGATGCCACAGAGCTGAAGCTTTCAACTAGCAGCACGAGAGCTGCTTGTTAAAGCTCCTCTCTGGCCAGCTGCCCATGATTACCCGTGGAGTCCAGAAAAAGAATTGCCAAAACATTAATGCTAGGCTAAAAGCACCCTCCCACTTAAAGAGCACACTCAGCCAAGGGCTCCCAGCGTGTGAGAGAGGCATCTGCTAAACAAAGACATAGAGAGAAAGTCTAAATGTTTAGGGGATGCCCGCATAACTCTCAGACCAGCCACTCCACAGGTCTGTAGTTGCTCTGTCCTTACCTTGGGCCTTCCCTCCCTTTGCAGCAAGGCATTTCTGGTCACCCAGCACTTGCTGCCCTCCTTGCACTTCCCCGCAGCCTGGTGCCCCCCAGCTGTCACGGCCTCGCATGCTCCCGTGGATGGCAGCCACCATGCGCCCACGCCTCCCCTAGCCCTGGCGTGGGGCAAGGGTCCCCAGGTGCTGCTGCAAGGCTGAGGGGGAGCAGTGGGGTGAGGGAAGCTGCCTTTGGGCTCCGTCTCTATCCAGAAACCCAAAGCCTTTGTCCCCTGTGGGGACGACTTGGCTTTTCGGCAAACAGCTGCCAATCAGTTTCTAGCAATGTTCATAAAACTGACTTTTGCCGTTGTTAATACAAACAAGGGCCAATGTTAGCATAATCAAGATAATTAGTTTCGTACTTAAAATATGTTTCTAATTAATTTCCGAAAAAATACTACCCTCACTTTGGAATACTCAAAGGGGAAACTGCTGGCGCAATCCAGCAGGATAGATCCGAAAAGGTTTTGTGGGGATCACAAACTGCTGATGCCATCTCACAGGCCATTGAGAGGAGCTTGTTTCTGCTGGCGTTTTTACCCACCCTGCAGAATCTCTAGTAGACTTACCATTCTCTAACATGTTGTTTCTCAAACTTTTTTCTATATACACTTCTGAAAAAAAAGAAGAGCTTTAAAAAATTCAAAGAGCTTAAGTGACAAACTTCCTCAACTCCACTGGAAATATTTTAGGAGATCTGTCAGTAAAATATCCTTGAAAACTACTGCCCTAATATACTGTATAGCTTAATCAAGGGCTCACTGCATATTAAGACCTTCATATAAGTATATTCTAACACTATCTCCCTGCCCCTTGAGTATCATATCCAGTGCTCACCTATGTCCTCACCAGAAGGCATCATTTTATTTTAACTGCTAATACTTTCTCAGAAAATTGCACAATGGCAGGAAAACTAGGTTCAGGTTTGAGATCAAAAGGTACCCAGAAGCCTACCGGACTTCCCAGCCATTTGGTCAGCTGTGCTAACTGACCTTGTAAAAATTCATCATTATCTGCACATGATGGTGTAGATGACACTTAATTTCCAGCATGAGGGACCTTGACCTCCCAAGCGTGCTGAGTCCTGGCTGAGAAAACTACAGACTTTGCTGCTGCTTTCACACAGCAACAGAGTGTGCTGAGCAAGATGAAAATAAAAATAAAAATAAAGCACTGGAGGCAGGCCTCCGTTCCCAGGTCTGGGCCTTGCTCATCTCTGCACTAAGGACGCTAATGTCCTTTCTTTTATCAGAGTGGTGCATTGATGTGTGAGTGCTTAATTGAACGATGCAGACACCTTAGCCCCTTCCCCGGGTGGGAGCCCTGCAGCGAGCATGGCCAGGCCACCCTGCAGCCTCACCAGGCTGCCCTTGGAGCATGCAAGTTCACCCGGGTGCTGGTGCATGCATGCACGGAGGGGCTGGGGAGAGACTGCGGTTAAACACTGAGTATACGGGACACACGAGAAAACAGAGGGTCAGAGGAACTCTGCAAAATATTTAGATGAATCCCAGTGTCTGGAAAATACCTTTGGCTCTTCAATAGCATGGGAGAATACTCAAATAACCTTCCAAAACCAGCAGGTCATCCCAAACGTAGATGACACAGAAGCTGTGTGCAACCATATCAGTAAAACTATATTTAAGATGTAATTTTGATTGGCTAAAATTGGTCTAGGCTTCTCCAGCGGGTTCAGGTTACTCAACAAAGAACAAATCGGGAGTCCCAAAGTACACCTGAAGACTAATTCTGATGTCCTCTCCTCCTGCTGGGGGTCCATCTGGGGCAGCAGGACAGCTTGGGGGGCAATGACCAGCCTGGGGCAAGCAACCAAGCGCCAGTGCCACAGCAGCGAGGCTGTGCCCGCCGGGGGCTTGAAGGTCGAGCTCTTCCCCAGATACCAGCTATATGTAACGTTGGGTTGAAACCCATCCTGTGCATCTGTGGGATATTGGGAGTTGGGGGCACTCAGCCCCCCAGCGCTCCCCTATCCTGCCCTTGTGGCTCAACAGCAGAACTGCTAACAGCCACGTGCAGGGTTAAAAAATAGCTCACAGTGAATTTCACTGCTTCAGCAGCATGTATTTCAGGGTGCGATAAATTTGGAGAGTGTGTTGAATTGTGGATTTATTGCCATTAGTATTAAAGCAGCGAAATGAATATATCTGCTGTGTGTACAGCTGATGCACCAAAGTCAGGTATTGTTCTGCCTTATTTGCTTAAAGGAATAAATAAGAATTAAAGGAAGCTGCTAATTTAAAAAGTAAGGAATGCTTTGGCTTGAAAGACTCCTTCTACAGTACAAAACGGTCTTGCTCTGGCTTTGCATAACACAATGACGCTAGAGGCCGAGGACTGCAAATCCTTGTTTTGAAAAGCTGAAAAAGAAAAAAAAGGGAGGGGAAGAGTTGATTTTTTTGTCTTTATGGTGTCATATATTTCTAAAGCTACATATTTTGAAAAACAGACTACTACCATTATTTTTTTAATTCAGAAATGGCTATAAATCAATAATATTTGACAGGATGATATTTTGCATTAAGCCTTTATGATGGCAGATCATTAATTCAGATGGTTTAAAAAAACCCCATAGTTTATTTTCAGACTACGGCAATTACACTTCAAAAGATAAGAAATATCCCTTTTTGTTTTTTATGTGAATCAGGGTGTATAACATAGGTTTATAAAAAGTGTAAAAATAGGCATTTTTCTAGTCAACTTGTTTTTTTTTGTGATTTGTGATGCTCCTGAAAAATGCAACCGTCAGTACTTTTGAGTAAAAATTTTGGATCTAATTAAGTAAGGATCACTAGGATGAGGAAATGAAAAAAATTTCCATGGTATCTCTTTGCTCTGAGTCCCTTTCAATGAACATGATCTTGTCCTTTGTACACACAAGCCTCAGCTCTCCAGGACGAGAGTCCTGGCCTGTGATTCTTGCCCTTTTCTGGGCGCTTTGCTGCTAACACGCGGTGCTCTTCGCCTGCAGCCACCAGCCCTCCCTCCCAATGAGGACCCCTACACAGAAACCCCTGTCTGCAAGAAGAGAAAGTGCCACAAATGCACATCGATTTCAGTGGCATTTAGATAAGTCTTAAATGAGCGCGCTTCGGTGCGTGCCTTCCTGCTGGAAGCATTTCATGGCCATCTCAAGACCCGTCTGCGGGCCTGGGAACAGAAGCAATACCATACTATTTTGCTCAGCCCAATAGTCAATGCCAAATTGCAATTTTTCAAAGTAATGAGCAGAGCAAGGAGCATGTGGTCAAAACATAGGCTGAACTAGCTTGTGGAAAGGGTTCATCAAGCAAAAGTAGATGGCAAAATATGCATAAACATTCAGATCGGTACCTAGTTTGCAAACAGAAAAAGGAGCAGCATTCAAACCAAGCAGGTTCTTTGGGCCTGACTCTGATTTGATTTCACGCTTGTGTATTGTGACGACAAGAACAGGGGACAGAAATCAGCTGGATCTGAGGCATGACTTTGCCCCCTGCCTTTTCAGGGAAGAAGGCCAAGTGGAGGCAGATACCCATTTACGAATGACGGTAGCTTTCCTCGGTCAAGCAGCTTCAAGCCCTGCTTTGCACTGGCCAGAGACGCTGGTGCTCACCAGCTTTCCCTTCTTCAAGAGAGCCAGTAACTTCAGTCGTGCTCACAAGTCCTCCTCACACATACGCACTGGCACTGCGAGACAGACAGCCCCGACCGCTGGTGTGACCTTGTCTCCCGGCACCCAATTCACACGAGAGCAGCCGGCGGTGGCTCTGCCGAAGGAGCTGCTCGGTGCAGCTGGGGCTGCGGGGCGGGCGCTGAGCACCGCAGCCCAGCAAGGGGCTGCTGAGCGTCGCAGGAGGCCAAACGCTGGAGGAGCAAATGAAAGAGGCTGAAAGGGAGACAAAGTCAAAATAACAGAGTCGGTGAATCGCCCTGCCATTAGCACAGAAGTCAATTAAGAGACAAAGTGCTCTGCTGGAGAAAAGAAACCCACACTTATTTTTTTTCAAACTCATTCGCAGATGGGTACAAGCTGCTTATTAGCCACAGATTCCCAACCTGCATTTACAAACACTGGTGCCCTCCTCCTTCCCCCTCCTCCCTCAGCAAACCTCCCTGTGTCGCGGTGCTTCGTCCTTCCCTGCTCTCCTGGAGCCAGGCAGCCGTTCCTGGCTATTCCTGGGGTGCTTGGGGGGTGGCTGGCTCGAGCCTCGGTACTGACTCACGCGACGACAGGACCACCCACCACCCCACGGGTCATCCCACCACCGCCGGAGGCTCCAGTTCCTCATGGGTGGTCTTCATTGGGGTGTGGCTCTTGTGGCTGGTGTGGCGGGACCAGCCATTCCCTCCTTGCCCAGACACCATGAGGAAGAGGGGAATCAGGACTCAGGCAATCAGATGGAAAAGCTGGCCTCTGCCAGTGGGATTTCAGGGTCTTTGAAAAAGAGAACAAAACTTGAGCAGCTATTTCCTAAAGGAAAGCCTCCCGAGCACCTGCTCAGCCCACCCGTGCCTTGCTCGTGGGCCTTGCTCTGGGCGTCCCCGTCTTACTCCTAGCAGTGCAGAGCTGGGCCGCCTCATCAAACCCTGTCCCAGGAATCGTGCTGGTAACACCCCAAGGATGGAGGTCTGAAGCCAGCCCTGACCCCACCCCACCCCATCCTCCGGCTTGGCCCTGCTTGCATTTCCTGAACCTGCCATCGCCAGGCCCAGTTCCCAGGGCCCATCAGTAGCGAAGGGAGAAACGCTAATGTCCCCTTCCACCAGGACCACACTGATTTATGTTACTTGGCCACGGGCTGCAGTCTCAGTTATGGTTAATACCATGTGTTGTTTCAGTCATCTGCCAGAATTTAATGTTGTCTGAATAAAGTGGATGCCGTCAACCATCCCCGTGGCTCTCCTGTACCCATCACTGGGA